AAAGAGATTGCACCTCCAGTATGAGATTTATGATTTTATGATAATGGATGAGGTCCGGGCCGGCCCGGTGGCGCACTGCTACAGTGTGCCGCTTGGGAGCGTGGCGGCGCTCCCGCCGAGGGTTTGGATCCCACATACAGACCGGCCGCTCACTGGCTGAGCGAGGTGCGGGTGCAACACCGAGGGTTGCGATCCCGTAGCCGGTCCCGGTCCAGTACGGGCGCGACACTGAGGGTTGCGATCCGTTGCCGGTCACGAAAAAAGACAAAAAGGAAAAAAAAAAAAAATGGATGAGGTCCAAACATTTAATGTAGCATCAACTTTGTTTTTGTTTTTGTTTTCCAACGGTCAATAAAATGACCAGGTTTATTTATGGAGGGGAAGCAAGATACATGCAGCCACCATCCTATTCTCACGCACAGCTGCACTCATGGTTGCTGTCCTGGACTTGTGATCTGACTACAGAATAGGCCCAACTCCTGCCACTGCTGACCTTGAAGTGCACTGTTTCGTCCAGAGGGGAGTCCAGGCTTATTCAACCTGGAGCTTTTAGCTAAGAACAGACAGGGATGGGAGAGATAAGGAGAAAACCTGCCCTCCTAAGCAAAAGAAGATCACGTGGTTAAGCAGACACAGGAAAAAACATATCAGAATTAAGTATTTAAATAGGAGGAGGAGAACAAGAAGTTGCTGAATCAGGGTGGTTGAGGATGAAAGGTTCCAGGAAGCAATAAAACTCCTGGGTAACACTGGTCTGGTTCTTAGCAGCATTGAACTTGCTTCCACAACTCACTTTGAAATGCTGAGCTTCAGCAAGCTTCCCCCCACCCACCCCTTTGTCTGCCTTCTCATTTGCTTTCCTTGCCAAGTTTATACCAAGAACAGATCACCTTGGTGAATCTGAGGCTTAGTTATTTAGCTATTAATATGAGACAGTGTTAAATAATAAACCCAGGTCCCTAAAGGAAGGCCTTATACATGCAACTGAGAGTACGTTTCTATTACTACATGTCACTCAGTTCTGAGGCCTGAATTAAAGTGCAGATCAAATTCACCCCAAAGTTACTTTATTTCCCAGTTCATTTTCTCTCTGCAGACCTGGCCTGCCTGTCCACCCCTTTTCTTGAGTTACTGGCATTGTAATCCTTTGTTTACAGCAAGTAAAATAAATATTTGCATTAAAAGGAGCTCCCAGGCTAGTCTATTCCTCCGTAGTTAGCCCTGGTGAATCAGAACATTCTGAGGCGCAACCGCTGTAATCACGACTGGTGGTAGAATGTAAAAAATGTACATTTGGTTTTTAATCATCAAGTGATCCAGATCTCAAGTACTGCATCCACAAATGAAGATTCCATTTAGTTGATATGCTTATTGGAAGTCATAACTGGGCATGATTTTCTATGTACATAGTAAGTACCTAAAATATAGCATTCTTTTTAAATATATAAAGGACCTGCACATTATGAAACTCTCATATCTATTTTATTGTTGACAACCCTTATGACGACCCTGTGAACTAGACAGGTTGATTATTTTTACTATAGTGGCCCATGAAAGTGGCAGAGCAAGGCTTTGAGATTTCCAACACAGCATTCTCTGCATTATTGAAGTTTACTCTTTTCTCTTTTTTTAACTATGTAAATATATTTTTTTTCTTAAATTTTGACCCACTATGTTATTTTTTCAATTTTTTATTAGCATATTCATTTTTATAAATTATACTTTTTCTTTATGCCCCTTTTAATCATGAGTTTTCTTAACATGGTTATAAACCACAAACTTACATTTGTTGCACTGAACTTATTGAAATTTGCTCTCTACAGAAATTAAAACAACTTGAGTACCACCTTGATTAAAATCTTGGCATGTCAAGGAAGGTTAAAGAAGTAAGTTGTCAGTGGAAGAGTTCCGATTTAGCATATTTGCTTCTCGATTTATCAGTAAGTGAATACTATTATCTTAATAGCATAGTAAATTACCTGAAGAAGCACAGGGAAGTATATGCTGTCAAATCTCTGTTCTCCTCAATTATCAGGTTACAGGAAGAACAGAGAAAGTAAGAACTGATGACAGAAACAGGATTGGGCAAAATAAAGACATAAAATATTTGGGGGGGTGTGTGGAAAAGAAGATATGTAACTGCATTTAATGAAACAAAATATGCAGATTTGTAATGGTTTCCAAAACATCTTGTTATCAAAGTATAATCCAATCTCCCCATTGCTGAGTGACTCTTTCAATGTATCCTCAAACAGTTTCACTAATATCTTCAGAATTTATCATTGTTCATGCCACATATACCAAATAATATTAAAGTTATACTAGTGCTGGTAAAAATGCCCCCATAGCTTCAAGAAGCAACATGCTTCTTGAATTCTTAACATACATTAAGAATGCTACTACATAGAACGGGACGAATTGGAAAATTAAATAAGAAATGACACACCACCCTGTCCTACAGCGACACTTGAGTCTTTTTTCCTCCTTCTTGAGGAAACAAGATAGAAGAGGACCTTCCCAAGTCTATGATTCTATTTTTTCAGGAAAATGAAAACTTTCAACAACATGTTTAAGTGCTAAACAAGCTTATCCTTGTTTCTAATTTACTGAGATATTATTTCATAAAGATACCACCCAAACATGGACTTTTCTTGGATTTGACATACAAAAAGGATTTGTCTTTTCACAATGCCCAGCACAATGTCAAAGTCCCCCTACCAGACCTTAAAAGGGTGAGTAAGCAGGAAAGAGGTCCAGTTTTTTTCTGAAGTCCCTAGGAATGGAGCTGATATGATGAAGTAGAGTATCACTCAGTGCTTTAGGGCTTAGGTCTCAAGGATGAATGGTGGAAGGAGCAGCAAACAGAAACAAAGGTAACTTTAAGGGAAAATGGTATTTTGTTCATTGCTGTAGTCTACATTTTAGACTCTATTCTAGAATACTGAATAAATAAATTTGGAAGGTGAAACTCTGAGTTTGAATCCTGTTCTGTACCTTCCTATCTGTGAAACTTTGGAGCAATTACCAAACACATTTTGAGGGGTTGCTGGATGATGAAAAAAGCATGTGTTCCATAAAGTTCTGTATATTGCATGGTTTTTATCTTCAGCCTCTAGGGACCAAATGAAATGAATTTAAAATGAGATGATGAAAAGCATCACCATCATTTTGTAGAAGGCATCTTGCCTTAAGGCTTTCCAAGAGGTGCTTGCTTATTCATGACAGAATTTCTGGAACCCAATTTTGGGAGTCATCTGAAAGCTGCTATCTGTGTGGTATTACTCCAAACTGAGCATTTCATAGATGAACAATTGAGGCTAATTTTATATGCTTATATCTGAGGATGTGAAAATGGAACAATAAGCTAAAAAGGTGAATGTTTTTCAACGTTATTTTATCCTAGTTTATTCTGATAAGTGCAAACACACAGTCATAAAAAACACAAAGATGATTCTTACCTTTCTTTGGTCAGATTCTTTGAGAATTTTATGAATGCTAGAGGTCCTCTCTTCCAAAAAATCAGTGCACACATACACACATACACACACACACACACTGGTGCATGCATATACACACACCAACACACACACAAATATTTTTTAGGCAACAGAATAACTCCTCTCAAAGTCCAACTATCATTCAAGTTAGGAACTACTGAATAAGTGTTTGGGTTTACGTCAGAATAGATGTAGAATACGCACACATATATATCCAAATATTTATGACTTAAAATAATTAAATCTTATGCAGTACACAATTTCCTCGTTAGTCTGATATATGAAATTGCCAAGTGACCAAATTCTAGGAACAGGTAAACTCATGTTCTGCGTACTGAAGTGACAGATTCTCCTACAGTGTTCTGCAAACTACTGTTTACTTAAAGCAGTTTCACAGCTTCTATGTGTGTATACATAGCAGGGTTGAATTTGATATGACAACCTGGTTCAATGAGGATTGTAGCCAATTTCTAGTGGACCCTGTGTCTAGGAAGGTAAGGTGAGCAGCCAGGGAGCTCACTCATCTCTTAATCTAATCATATGAAATGGAGCTGCATTCTTTCCACAATCACTGTTGCCTTTCTCAGCCTGTGTCTGCCTGCCCCAGGGAAGACAGTATTCCATCACAGGCAGAAATGACATGCCTTTGTACTGGTTACCGTGATCTTTAAGATGAATGACTTTTACCAAGAGTATATTTTACAGTTCGGCTAATAGCCTCATAGGGATTATGTACATAAAAGCATTTTAAAAATTACTAACAATAGACAATATAGAGCTCACACTTCAAATTGAGAGAAACACTTGACAACAACATTTGCTACAGTATTTGCTAGCCTATGAATTTTACTATTCTAATTGAGCTTAGGAAAGAAAATGGAAACAGGAAAAGAGATGTTCTAAGGCCTAAGGAAACTTGGAATTTCAGTGTTTAAACTAAGCGTAACTATTAAAAAATACGTTAATATGCAAATATCTCCATTCAGTAAAAATCATGAATTTCAATCAGTAAAAGCATAGGACAACCAAGAGTTTCCTTTATGTCCTGCAGCAACCTGACACTTCATCCTGACACTTTATCTCACTTAGCAGTTTTTGGCTGGGCAACTATATTAGTTTTTGATTGTCCTTATTTCTGAATTTAGGGTTGGAGGGCACCCACAAATGGTCAAATTCTCTCTCTGTGAACGTGTTAGCATTTTATTGCTATAGTCCTCATTTCAGTTTTGTTTTCTATGTCATAAATGAAAAAGTGATGATTTCTTTTTTTTTTTTTCTTATCTCTGGTTTCAAATCTATTCCCTGAAATATTAAATCTCTACTGTTTTTAGGTGAGTTGGGGTGTCTTTATTTTGCAGGTTCTCTCTCAAGTCTGGTATCACGTTGCCTTCTCCTGCCTGCTGTCTTCCTTCTGGTGGCAATGTTAAGGCTCATGGTTGTGATACCATTGAATGTGGCTTATGCGGAAACTGCCTTAGATAGGCTCAGGAAATCTTAGGGGACTTCTGCAGGGCCACAGTGGAAGATGGATCCTTCTAAACAAAGACGCTGAAGAGAGGGAATTCAGCCTGATTGGGCTGTAGCAGATCAATGAGAAAGCACACCGTCCCGGAGAAGCCTTCGTACAAGCTGTATATGCTTTCAAGGACCCGAGAACCAGCCTTGAATTCCTCAGTAAATAAGAATTGAGCAAACCTAAGAGAAAAAGAAGAAAATATGAACAGTTTTAACATGAGTGTTTTCATATTATTGGCCTAGGGGTTGCTTCTTCCTCTTCTGCTAAATCAAAGTTTTAGCATTATTTTCTTTTTTAAAGAAAGGCATTTTCTCTGTAAGAAAAAAAAAAAAAAGTGAGGATCTGTTATGTTAAGTGTGAATGTTTCACAGCAAATTGTGTTGGCAAGCAAAACCAACTATTTTCAGTTTGCAAAGCAAAGCAGTTTGGGTATTTTCTGAGGATTTCATTCCTTCTGTCATCCAATAATTACACATAAAAAAGACAGATAAATTGTCCTACTTCTATTTATCTTGAATAGAAGCAAATTGATATATGACTGTTGCTTTTAAAAAAGTAAATATGCTATATTTCTACAGACATATTATTTCTGAGCTAGGTTTTATTTATAGGTGACAGAGGGAACAGAGACTGAAAATAAATGGACAAGATCTTATATAATCTGTGTTTTAGGCAAACAAAAAAATAAGATGAATGAGAAAAGGAAAGCAACCTTTTATAATCATATCATCAAATAGCAAACCCAGCTATATGATTATTTTTAAGACATCAATCTTAAAAATAAATCACAGGCCTCTAAATTATCTATGAAAGACCTGTTTTCTTTTACCTACATTTGCCACAAATCTTAGTATTTATAATGAATAACATTTTTATAGTAGTTTACAACTTTTAAAGTGCCATCACCTACCTCATCTTTTTACCGATTTGCTCTACTCATTCCCATCAACAACAAAATAATCACCAGTTCAGAGGCTGGAGCTCATAGCTTGGTAAGGCTCAAGGGCTGATACTGCTGTAAATTTAGATTATTGCTACTACCTAGGTATCTTATGAAGAGTATTTACTTATTTGTTCTCTTTAGGGCTCTGGGAATTATTGATGGAAACTTAAAATAAATCAGCAGGAAACAGATTGCAATTCTTTTTAGTATAATTTTTCTGTCAACTGTTTTTCTGAATATGCAACAATTTTTAAATGGAATTTTAAATTTTAAATAGTAGAATAATGATGCATCTTACCAGTTAATTCAAAATTTGTAATCATGTAATGAAGTCAGCACCTATAGATTCGGCGGGGGCAGTGGGGGGCATTAACCTTTCTAGTGCTATGCATCATTTGGTAGTCTAGACTGCTTCTCAGAAAAAGTGTTCAAATTCATAGAATAACATACACAAGATTCTGAAGGAAATTACTTATATAAAGCACAGTTAGTAAAATTTTTAAAACCAAATTTGTAATACAATAACATATATTCTTAATAAACAATAAATAACAAGGACTAGTAGTGGGTCTAATAATTGCTGACATTTTAAAATACTGATGGGAGTAAAATATATTTCACAACGTTTGCAACAACAGTAATATGACATGAGAATATGACTTTTATTGGTTGCAGAGTCACAGCTACTGGTAATACTTCTGTAACTTTTTAAAAAAATTTTTATTTTATGTTGTAGTTTTTTTTTTTTTTTTAACCTATATTCAGAATTGAAGAAAATGCTATATTTCAGTTTGAGATGTAATCTTTTTCTCAAGTTCATGAACCCTAGATAAAGAACTGCTGGCATAGTAGAAAAAGGAAGGGCTTTGAGTCGAGATACCCAATTTTGATAATTTCATGTTACATGAACTTTAGCAAATTTCTTCATTTGACTTTAAAATGGTGACATTGCAGATTTGCATAAGATTATCTGTAAAGATTAAAGATACCACATATTAGGCTCTGAGCATATAGCAACCATTTGATAAATGGAAAATATTTTTCCACGTAAGCTTATCATGACAGAATATTTGCAAAACAGAGAAAACCATTCTACCATACTATAAAAGAAAACCACAGTTAATTTTGCTTGTTCTTTTTCTGACCTTTTTTCTGTAAGCATTGACTGATTTATTACATTATTATATATTATTAAAATGTATACAATCTGGTGTCATGCATTTTTTTCATTTAAAAATAAAATAATTATTTTTTGTGCTGTCCAAAATAATTTCTAAAACATACTGTCTGACTACTGTCAGGCTAAGGCTAAGGCTGATGTTGTGTATCCTGCTCACAGCACCAACTGTCTAGCTCTTAATCCTGTTTGTGACGCCAATCATTAAGCTAGGCGACCACACTAGTTGTCATTGCTCTTTTACCTGCTGGTAATCCTGCACTGACTGGGCTGATGGTTGAGCTAGGGCTGGGTCTGGAGCTCCCAGACCCCTCAAGCCCATTCACAGACTGGTTCACAAACCCTTCACACACCAGGCTGGGTCACCAGACCCCTCCACACCAGGCTGGGTCACCAGACCCCGGGTCACCAGACCCCTCCACACCAGGCTGGGTCACCAGACCCCACACACCCAGGTCTCTGAGCTAGGTAACCAGCCACACAGTCCTTGGAAGCTGCAGGTCTGGAAAAACATGGCAGTGCAGGGCAGGTGCCCGAGGCAGTAAAACACCAGCCAAAGCAGTGCTGCCTTGCAGGCGCACTTACTCCACCCACAAATCCAATGCTTACTGAACCACCCTGAACTGGCTCTGAGGCGAGGGAAGCCTGACCAAATTGTTTAATTTTCCCAACAAATACACAGCAATTTCCGATAGTACCAATAATGTACAAGACTAGCAGTTTCCTTGTATTCTGACCTTCACTGTGTGTTATCATTTCTGAAAAATGTTGATATTAAAGAGAAAATGACTGTTTCAAAAATCTGCCCAATGCTGCAAAAATCAAACTAACGAAAGTACTTTTCTAAAAAAATTCTCTATCAAAATGAAAGTCAAAATGGTAATTAAAGAACTAAAAAGAATGAAATACAGTGAGAATAATACAGATCAAACCCTCTTGATTTTGACCAAAACTGAATGCTGAGGAAAATTCATAGATCTCTGAGTTATTATTATTTTTAATAGAAAGATAAAAGGTTTTGTAATTAAGCATTTCTTTAACTCTAGAAAATAACAAAATAAAGGAAAGGAACAGTGGAAAACCAAAATAAAGGCAGAAAAGAAATTAGGTATCAAAAGAGAAAAACAAAAATCATTAATAAACAATACCAAAAGCCAGTTCCTTGAAAGGATGAACAGATAGAAAAAATGCTAGTGTATCTAAACAAGGAGGAAAAGCATTAGGAATGAGAAAGGCATGCGACCACAGATATGGGAAATTTAAAATATTATAGAACTATGCTATTAGAGCTCTATGTCAAACATTTGAAAATCCATACAAACTAGATACTTTTAAAGAAATATATTCACTACCAAAATGAAAGAGGTAGAAAACCTGAATAAGTGAATAATCATAGAAGAAAATGAAAAGGGAATCAAATAATTTTCTGCAGCCATAAATTCCAACTGTCTGTTAAAAGAATAATAGGTAGTGACCAAGTAATTTTTATTCCATGGAGGTACATACTGTTTGACATTACTGTTTCAGGAACTGCCAAAATTAAAGAAGCCTACCCAATTTGGGCCATATCATTTTTTAACTTTAAGTAATAATGAAGTGGATATTTTAGTACTCTAAGCAATGAAATGCAATGTCCAAATAATACTCAGATATTATCTGCACGTTTTTAGTCTTCTGCCTCTTAGTGTGAAATTTAAATTGTTCAAAGGGCCCTGGACTCCAGAATCTTATAACCAAGACTCTGTAAGCTAGGACTGGCCTGTCAGAAAATAGAGGGGTTGTTCCGATCTTTTCTAATAGACTTTCTAGGGCATGAGAACCTCTGATGAAATTTATCTCAAAGGTAAAATCCCATTGGCCTGGATAAAATCCAAAATGACTTTCTTTTGCTACATTTGGGCAACAACAGGTCAAGCTTCCACCTAAACAGATTATGGATCCATGAATCAAATAGATTAACAGGATTCCTAAACAATAAAGCTTCAAATAGAGGACTTACATATGTTAGCATTTCTCCGTCAGTGCATACATGCAAATATCATAGAAGATATTTTATGGTTTCTTTTTAATATTGAATATTAGATAAGTTGGCTTGGCAAGGCCTTTCTGAGAAAATGACTTTTGAGTAAAGGTGTGAATGAAATGGGAGAACTAAGAGATATATGTAGAAAGTGAGCATTATAGGTGAAAGAACCAAAACTTCAAAGGCCTTAAGTTGGAAGTTACCTGGCATTCTGGTAGAATTACAAGGAAGCCCATTGTGGTAGAGAGAACCAGGAGGAAGAAGAGTAGGGGATGAGATCAGAGAGATAATAGGAAGCTAGGTCTTGTAGGACATTCACTCATAGAAGAGACTTTGGCATTTACTTTGAGTCATACGGGAAGCCATTGAATTACCTTGAACAGAGCACTGTCACAATCTGACATAATATACATTACAAGAAGCTAATAAAAAAGATGATGGCAAAACATAAAAGCATTCTTAATAAAATAATCATAAAACCAAGAATGTTTACTATTCCTCTTACTGCTGAACACTTTGGGGATGCATGCATAGAGGACTCATGCAATAGGAAACAAACAAACAAAAAGTATACAAATGAGGAAGGAAGTAACAGAATCATAATTATTTGCAGATAATCTATATTTATTTAGAAAATCCAATGGAATCTAATGAAAAACTAACAGAAACAGTAATGGAGTTCATTAAGGTTGCTGTACATATTATTATGATATTTATGAAAACTAAGATACTTATAAGATTTATATGAAAAAGTACATCTTAGAATTAATAAACTGCAGTAATATGCATGTTTCAAAGAGCCTTCATAAATACCTGTGATAAACAACCTGAAAATATAATGCAAGAAAAAATTCCACTCACAATAAACCTGAAAACGTGAATAACTAGTGATAAAATTAATAAGAAATATACATCTTCTTTATAAGATCAAAACTTTACTAAATGACATTTTTAAAACCTTAAAGGTATACCATGTTCCTGAATAGAAAAACTCATAAAGATGATAATTCTCAGTAACCTGTAAATTCAATGAAATTCCAATCAAATTTCCATAGGATATTTTAAAAATTTGACAAAATGCTTCTAACATACAACTGGAAGAATAATTGAGAGAGAATAACTAAGAAAAATTAGAGATAAATGAATAATGAAATATATAGCTAGATAAATGGAACAGAAGAAAGTCCAGAAACAAACTCATATATTTATATAAATCCAGTTTACAATAAAATTGGAATTTCAAAGCATGGGGGTAGTCAATAGATGCTATTACATTTTTTTTTTGTTTTTCAGTAAACAAAGATAGATACCCATGTGACACCATTTAAAAAAGTACATTTTTAGATGAATCAAAAATTTAAATGTTAAAATAAAATCATTAAGGTACTAATATCAATGTAAATTGATCTTTTTGTAATGTTGGAGTGGGAAAGGTCTTTTTAGCATTAACACAAAACCTAGAAATCTTAAAGGAAAGTTTGACAACTTCGACAAGAAATTACTCAAAACTTCAAAAGGCTATGAACAAAGTTGAAAGAAAGTTGACAACTTCGACAAGAAAAATACTCAAAACTTCAAAAAACTATGAACATAGTTGAAAGAAAAATGGCAAAGTAGGAAATTATTTATAGCATATATTGACAAAGAGTTGCAATTCTTAATATAAACATCACAATCAGAAAAAAAAATAGGCAAAGGATAAAGACAGGCTAGTTATAGACCAAGAAATACCTGTGGACCTAATAATTTCAGTTCTAAAATTTCTCTGACAAAAACATTTATGCAAGCGATCAGAAATGTACATATTGGATATTTGGAGGAATTCTGTTTGTATTAGTAAAGACTGCACACATATCAAGTGTCCATTATTTAGAGATTGGTTAAATTAATTACAGTACTTACATAGTGATTAAATAGATAGACATTTAAAACAATGACATAGATCTATACAAATTGAAATGAAGAATGTCCCTTAAAAATTGTTCATTTAAAATTGTAAGCTGCAATCACTATTCACAATAGCCAAGATATAGAATTAACCTAAGTGTCTGTCAATAGATGAATGGATTTTTAAAAACTGTAGTATATATACACAGTGGAATACTACTCAGCCATAAAAAAGTAATGAAATCCTGTCATTCGTGGCAACACGGATGAGCCTCCAAGACATTATGTTAAGTGAAATAAGTCAGGCACAGAATGACAAATACTGCATGTTTTCACTCATGTGAAACTAAAAAATTGAGCTCATAGATTAGAAAGAAGAAGTGTGGTTACTAGAGGTCGGGAAAAGTGGTGGGTAGAGGAGGTGTGGGGTAGTGGGGTAGTGGAGAGGTTGATTACTGGATACAAACTTACAGCTACATAGGAAGAATAAGTTCTAGTATTCTATAGTATGGTTAGGTGACCATCATTACAAATAATTTATAGTATATTTTCAAATAACTAGAAGAGAGGATTTTGAATGATCTCAGCACAAAGAAATGATAAATGTTCGAGGTGATGCTAATTACCATGATTTGATCATCACACATTATATACATGTATCAAAATCACACTCTGTACCCCATAAATATGCAGAATTAATATGTGCCAATTAAAAAATATTTTAAAAATTATATGCTGAAAACAGTATGCATAGTACTGTTATACATACAAAATAGTAAGAGCCTATGAAAATATACATATACACACATACATATATACATATGTGAGGGTACTTCAAAAATTTCATGGAGGGCCGACCCCGTGGCGCAGTCGGGAGAGTGTGGCATTGGGAGCGCAAAGATTTGTATTATCTTTTAATTCCATTTTTCAATAAAGTTTTTGAAGTATCCTTGTATGTGCAGAGTATTTCTAGAAAGATAACCAAGAAACTGGTAACGCTGATTGTCTCCAGGTAAGTCAATTACATGGCTAAAGGGCACAGCTGATGTGTTCTTTTTTGCACTTTTAAAAACCATATGCCTATATTATCAATTCAGAACGTTAATTAGATTAAAATTTTGGAAAAAAAAAATATGAAGAACAGCTGACCTTTGGGCTCGGTAGATGTATTTAGAGTTTCCCGTGAGCCGGTACAGCAGCAAGAAGACATAGGCACTGCCAGCTACGCCGTGGCAAATCCCTGGCCCCTTCTTCAGCAGGCCCTTCTGCCATGTGAGTTCCCCACACCGAATGCATGTGTCCAGGTATTGTGGTTTCTTGGAAACCAGATAAGCTTTGGCAAACAGATAGGCAATTCCTGTGAAAACATCAAAGACATTAGAGGTGACTTTCAGGGCTTAATACTATAAAGAAGAACTTCTCGAACTGTAAAAGGTTCCGGAATCACCTGAGTATTGGTAGAACACAGATTCTAATATGGTAGATCTGAGGTGGGGCCTGAGATACTGCACTTCTAACAAGCACCCTTCTGGGGACCACACTTTGAGTAGCAAGGCTATATAGAAGGTTCTACATGGAGGGGAGTCTTATCTTCCCTGTGGGATTTAGTTTTAATTGTAGTATGGGGTTGGCCTCTAGAGAAAGAGCAGCATTTTAATTGAAATAAGTACACAGATTGATAAAACCCATAATTTATTTTACAAATGGGTTAATATTTAATGATGCATACTCTGGTGAGCATTGTACATATACAGCTATTTAGAATGGCTAAATGTTTATACAGCTTACCCATTCCCCTACAGAGGTTCAGAATTTGTAATGTTTAAGTACTCATAACTATATACCTTTTCTGAAGAGCAAAACTGGGAATCTTTCTCAGGACAACAGTGTTCCCAAACAACCTTGCCAAGACTTCTACTGGAGCTGTGAAGTGAGTCCTTCCCAACTTGCTTGTTCAAGGAAAAAATATATTCCTTCAAAACTTGTCAACAAAACTAGGATCAATTACAAGGGCAGAACAGAAACAAAGAGAAGCTATAGCTATTAATAGAAACAATTTTCCCCAAGTTCCGGCTGTTCATATTCAGGGAGGAGATTAGTAATACAAGCTCACTTTCCTTCATAGCCTACCTTTCTCCTGTGTAAAAACTGGGAAAAACTGAAATGTGGTATCATGACTAGCTTATTCATCAGGGTTATCTCACCTTTCATTGCTTTGACTAGGCTATTTTACAGTTCTGTAGAGTTAGAAATTACCTGGTAGAAAACTGATAGTAATGTAAATAATCCCTGTCCCTAGAAAGTCACATTCTGTCTGGTAGAGGCTAAACTGACTTTGCTCTGCCTTTGTGGAAGAAGCCAGTTTTGCACTTCATTTCATTCATTTTGGCATTCCTAATATCCTATATAAATGTATCTGCTCTTTATATTTTACCTTGAACCAGCTGTAACACACTTCTTTAATTAATGAGCTCATTAATTAATGAGCTAAAACTGATGACACTCAGGCACTGAGGCAGCAGCTCCAACTTGTCAGCCCCCACAGGATCCAGGCTAGGTAAGTCTCCGCCCTCAAGAGGCCAGAACTGACAGTCCCCAGGCCCTGAGGCAGCAGCTCTGACCCAGCAGTCCCCATAGGATCCAGGCTAGGTGAGTCCCCACCCCCAAAGGGCCTGAAGTCACAACACCCAGACCCTGAGGCAGCAACGGGCAGGTGGGTGACAGCAAAACTCCCTGCCACTGCTGCAGATACCAGGGTGGAACAAGTGAATCATGAAAGCCTTCGCTACAAAGAATAAACACCAGTGGAGAGATACTGGGAATATGAAAAACCAAGAAATTATGACACCGCAAAAGGAACATAACAACTCTCAAGTTCTAGATACTATAGAACAGGAAGTCCTTGAAATGACTGACAAGGAATTTCAAGCAACAATTCTAAGGAAACTAAATGAGATACAAGAAGACTCAGTTAGACAGCACAACGAAATGAGAAAAAGTACATAGGAGCTGAAAGAGGAAATGTACAAAGAAATCAATGCCCTGAAAAAGAACATAGCAGAGCTTGTGGAGCTGAAGGATTCATTCAATGAAAAACAAAACACAACAGAGAGCTTAACTAGCAGGCTAGAACAAGCAGAGGAGAGAATTTCTGACCTTGAAGATGGCCTGTTCAAAATAACATAGGCAGACAAAAAAAGAAGAAAAGAATTTAAAAAATTGATGAAAATCTAAGAGGGATAACAGACAACATTAAGCGCTCAAATATCCAAATCATGGATATTCCAGAAGGGGAAGAAAAAGGAAATGGCATTGAAAACATATTCAATGAAATAATAGCAGAAAACTTCCCAGGTATAGGGAGGGATACAGATTTTCATAATCAGGAGGCTCAAAGATCCCCAAACATATTCAACCCATAAAGGTCCTCTCCAAGACAGGTCATAGTCAAACAGGCAAAACTCAAAGAGAAAGAGAGAATATTAAAAGCTGCAAGAGAGGGCCGGCCTGGTGGTGCACTGCTACAGTGCGCCGCTTGGGAAGCGCGGCGGCGCTCCCGCCGAGGGTTCGGATCCCACATACAGACTGGCCGCTCACTGGCTGAGCGAGGGGCGGGGGCAACACCGAGGGTTGCGATCCCGTTGCCAGTCCCCGTCCGGTATGGGTGCGACACTGAGGGTTGCGATCCGTTGCCGGTCACGAAAAAAGACAAAAAAAAAAAAAAAAAAAAAAAGCTGCAAGAGAGAAGTGTCAAGTCACCTATAAGGGAGCCCCTATCAGACTAACATCAGACTTTTCATCGGAAACCCTAAAAGCCACATGAGAATGGGATCATATATTCAAAATAGTAAAAGACAAAACTGCCACGCAAGAATACTTTACCTAGCAAGGCTATCCTTCTGAAATGAAGGTCAAATAATATATTTCTCAGACAAACAAAAACTGTGGGAGTTCACTTCTACACCCACAGCCAGCCTTACAAGAAATTCTCAAGGGAGTACTGGGTCAGGTACCTGAAAAACAACCATCACTACCATGAATACTCAAGAAAGAACAAAACCCACCAGTAGAATAAAAATACTAACAACAAAGAGAAAAAGAAGTTTATCAACCATCCCAAGAAACCAACAAACACAGAAGAAAAACAGTAAATCAGAAAGTAAGGAACAAAAGATATTTAAAACATCCAAACAAAATCAATAAAATGCCAGGAGTAAATCAACACCTTTCAATAATAACTCTTAATGTAAAAAGATTGAACTCCCCACTCAAAAGACACAGACTGATTGACTGGATCAAAAAGATGGACCCAACAATATGCTGCCTTCAAGACTCAACTCACCTGTAAAGACACACATGGACTAAGAGTGAAAGGAAAGAAAAAGACAACCAAGCAAATAGAAACAAAAAACGAAGGGCTGGCCCGGTGGAGGCGCTCCCGCTGAGGGTTCGGATCCCACATACAGACCGGTTCCCGCTCACTGGCTGAGCGAGGTGCAGGAGCAACACTGAGGGTTGCGATCCCATTGCCGGTCCCGGCCCGGTACGGGTGCGACACTGAGGGTTGTGATCCGTTGCTGGACACGAAAAAAGACAAAAAA